ATATATATATATATATATATATATATATATATTAATTTTTATTTTAGTCTAGAAAGAACATATATATGATAACATAATAATGACCTTTTTTGGCGATTATCGGTCTTTGAACTTCAATTTTGATCTATAAATTTACATTTACCGATAAAAAAAGAAAAAATAATGACATTTTTTCAGGTGGACCTTGTGGGAGGCTATTACGATGCGGGTGACAACGTGAAATACGGCCTCCCTATGGCTTTTACGGTTACGACCTTAGCTTGGGCCACCATTTTTTACCAACACGAGATTCAATCGGCCGGCGAAATTCAAAATGCTCTTAATGCGATTCGTTGGGGCACTGACTATCTCCTAAAAGCTAGCGCCAAACGCAATTGCTTGTTCGTGCAGGTACAAATTTGCTAGGGAGTTTTTGCAGTTTCAACCATTATGTCGGGAATTTTTGGTGATTGAATTAAACCTTAGGGGGGCAAAAACGAAATAAAACCAATACAAATTACGCTGATAGAATTGCGATTGATTTGTGGTTGAGGTAGGAGATCCCGAGAAAGATCACGAATGTTGGGTCAGGCCGGAGAACATGAAAACACCGAGGACCGTGCTGAAAATTGACCGAAATACCCCTGGGACAGAGATTGCAGCCGAGACTGCTGCTGCTTTGGCTGCTGCTTCTATCGCCTTTAGGCACGCGGATCATGCTTATTCACGAAGGCTCCTCAACAGGGCAAAATCGGTATTTTTGCTGTTGATTATTTTTTTTTTAATGAGTGATAACAGAAAAAAACTGACAATTTGTACGCGATTCATTTTTGCAGGTCTTCCAGTTTGCTAAAACATACAAAGGAACATATGATGGAGAATGTCCTTTCTATTGCTCTTACTCGGGCTACAATGTACCGTTTCTCTCGTCTTTTTTGGCTTAATAATATCTGTGTGCTTAAATTTGGGGTGTATTATACATTGTTTGTAATGTTACAAATACCTTGTGAAGCAATTTTTAATTATATTACACCAAAGTATGGATGACAATTGGATGAATTTTCCTGCAATTTAACCAAACTCAAAGGTACTATTTGTTATTAACAAAAAAGAGAAAATTGCGATTTTGGTCATCTATGTTATCAACCATAACTTTTTAGTCCCATTCGAATTGCTGTTTTGAATTCTGCCCCTTATGTTTGCAATAAGGTTACAAAAAAGTCTTTTTCGCACCAAAAAAGTCCAGATTTCGTCCCTTATGTATGCTCGGAGACTTTTTTGTTAACCTTTTTGCAAACATAAGGGATGAAAATCAAAATAACAATTCGAATGAGACGAAAAAGTTAAGAGTAGTGATACATACATGACTAAAATTACAATTTTCTCTAACAAAAATTGTGGGAAGGAAAAGAATGTTGTCAATCTAAATTCTACTCACCTAGTTTTTCCATAAACATAGTAAAAACATGAATAATGAAATTCTCTCTCTTTCTAGGATGAGTTGCTATGGGCAGCAACATGGCTATACAAAGCAACTAGAAGATCATTATACATGAATTTCATTCAAGACGAAGCCATAAGTGCAGCCGTCTCCGAATTTAGTTGGGACCTCAAATACGCCGGAGCTCAAGTCATCCTCTCCCAAGTACCACTTTTTTATTTTCATAATTTTTCTTTCTTCTACAAGACATTTTTTCATCGAATGCACACTTTTCTTTTATTTTCTCGTTTGATCGATGATAAAAACATTAAAAACATTAACGTCCTACTTAAAACATATCGAAACTAGTTCTACATGGAGGGAAAAAAGGATTTGCACGAGTTCAAACAACAAGCCGACAGTTATATATGTTCGGTGCTTCCCGATAGCCCTGATCATCAAGTTTTCATCTCTCCAGGTTAGTTTTTCTATTACCATTTCCCCTTCACTTCAATTTTCTTCTTCTTTACTAGCTAGCAAATTAATTTTGTTTAATGACACTTAACAGGAGGATTAGTGCACTTAAGGGATGGGGCTAATTCGCAGTACGTGACGGGCACTGCTCTCGTTTTCAGCATCTATAGTGATATTCTGGCAAGACACAAACAAGAAGTCATTTGTGGGGGCAAGAAATTCGGGCCGGCCCGTTTGATGACATTCGCCAAACAACAGGTGAAAAAAAAAAACACACAAGAAATACTTTAAATATAGAAACAAATGTTTTGAAAACTACATGGGTTCTTTTGTAAACAGAGTAAACCATCAAGACAAGACCTTTTATGCATATCAAGAATTAGAATTGCTTCGACATGAAAAAAAAAAAAATCTAATATGGCAAAATTGCATGTTTAGTCGTGCTGGTTTAACGTCATAACATTTTTCAAGATTTTAACTTTTCGTCTTTTGATCATGTAATTTAGTATTTTGCTTCAATTTCAGTCCTTTGAGACTTAAATTGCAACAAAATTTAAAATTACAAGACTTAAATTGCTAATAAAAAATCTTTGTTAGTAATTTAAGTCCTGTAATTTTAATTTTTGTTGCAATTTCAATCATTTTCAGTCCCAAAGGACTGAAATTGTGTTGAATTTTAAAATTATAGGACCAAAATAACAAAATGTTCAATTCTTAGGACTAAAAACGCCACTGAATCAAATCAACAGGACTAAAATTACAATTTTGAGGTTCACACTAATATTTTTATATCTGCAGATGGATTATTTACTCGGCAAGAACCCGAGGAGAAGCTCTTACATGGTCGGGTTTGGTAATAAACCGCCAACACGGGCCCACCACAGGGGAGCCTCTGTACCTAAAATGGCTCCTACTAAAGTAGTTAGTTGCCCCATGAGCTTCACATATTGGTACAACAATAATGGGCCCAATGTAAACGAGCTTACGGGTGCCATAGTTGGTGGGCCTGATAAAAACGATAACTTTATGGATCAACGCACGAGTTCGGCCATGACAGAGCCCACTACATACACTAACTCAATGGCAGTTGGGGTTCTTGCCAAGCTGGCCAAGTACCATGCACAGTCTTAGAATATTGATTTATAAAGGTGATTAGGATTAAGCTGCTTTTTTTTTTTTTCCTAGTGAAGCATAATAGTAATTACCCTATTAATTTCTTTTTTGAAGTACTCCTGGCAAGCTGTAAATTTATCTGTTGCTGGCACAGAGAGTGTAATAAATGTAGATATGTATATTTGTGAAGTGAAGTAAAGTCTTCACTGATAGACAACATTGCATAATTACCTTGTAGTATGTGATAGTAAGTAGTACAAAGCTAAATTGTATGATGCCTTGATACGTTTTCCCATAGAGGTACACATTGTATTTTTCTTTTTATTTTCAATTAATTTGTTTTGTTTTTTTCTCTTCCGTCACGTCATATTATTCAAAATAATCAACGACCGCTATAACTTAAAACGGATAGAGTAGTGCGAACCTACCACATCGACCTTTTTATTTTCTTTAATGTAAATAGTGTTAATGGAAAACGACTATTCAAAGTGTCCGTGTCACGTGAAATGCTTGCAATTAAAAGTGTTGATGGTAACAAATTATTGAACGAGTTATGTAGCAATTTATAGAGATTAAGAGCATATATAAGTAACTACGGAGATCAGCAAGGATATGAAGCGACAACGAAAATTATGTTTTTGTTGTTGTGAGTGTTCTATATATTGATAATATATTTTTCATGGTCCTCTATGTGGTATGTGGTATTTTTCATGGTTCTCATTTTTACTCACCCCTCACCTGTGACTTCACACAAAGGTTATAAGTATTATGTGAATTTCATTGATGATGCTATATTATGAGCATATCACATTTAATAAATTTATCATTAGTGAAAATAAACAATATAATTACAACTATTTTACAATCACTATATAGATTGGATAAAATAAATGAATAATTCTTAGTTGAAAATTATTAAATTAATTACTATTATTATAGTAACTGTTCACATAATTTTAAGGTGTTTGCTATGTCATTATGACTAATTAGTTATTTAAAAACAAGTGCTTAGTGAAATAAAAATAAAAAAATAATATTCATTCGCTACAAAATTTTTTATAAGTTGGAAACTTCCATATATTTTAGTGTGAAGTTATAATTATTTAATATTAGAAATTATTAGATGATAGAGTAGTTAAAAAGATATTGGTACACTTAATTTATTTAAAACAGAACGGTTAGTCTTCAAACAAGAAAATGGTATCAAATCTAGGTTGAGTGGTTTGATCACACGAATAGTATATGGACATGAAAGTTCATTTGTAAATGGTATAGGTGTTTCCTTCAAATTGTACCTTGTAGACCTGAATTCTATATAATGATTTTATTTGTTACTGTATATGGTGTTATTTTTTGCATTTTTTAAAATTAATTTAGTAAATAAAAATTACATCAAACACAATTAAAAATAATATTATAATTGCATCATATTTCTTTTTTAAGACTTCTACACTAGGACATTTTTTCCTTAAATCAATAATCATATATAAGCACTTATTTTTAACTTATAGTTGCACAAAACAAGTATCAAAGCAGCCCAAAAAAAGCAGGAGGAATACAAGAATAATATTGGGAATACATCTCATGTTGTGTTCAAAATAGTAAAATGGCACAGCCACACAAAAAACAGTAACGCTACCTTAAATAAATGTAATGAATCTTGTGAAGATTGCCACATTATCCTCATAGCATGAGGGAAAGAAATAGAAAAATATAACCATCAGTTTTCAAAACTCTGCAAATTTTGAAGAGTTTACCCACTTAAAATTTTAACATAACGATGACTCTAGTTTCATGGGATGTTCTTATTAGATCTCTATAAATATAAGCCTACATTATATGTTCATGGGATGTTCAAATGGCTGAGAAAAAAAATGTCAACTTGTGTAACAAATTCTCTAGTTTCAATTCTCATCCATGAAATGAGATTTCAAAACTGAAAATTTTGACAACTTTAACCCCTTATACTTTCAACACAAATAAAGATTATCACACAAAGAAAGGCGAATGATCGAAAAACATAATCATTTCATATCATTACCCGACATTAAAATAAGACATTTTAGACAGTGCGAGATTTGGCATCCACAAAAGCTTGTATTGATGGTTCCCTTCCAAGAAAGTCAGATAGCATCTCAAGAGGATCTTTTGCTCCTCCAGGCGCCAATACCTATGAAACAATGACATCAACGGAAATAGCCAAGAATTAAACATCGAAATTTGCTGCGTAAATACTTCCAAATGATAGCTTGATCTACAAAGGGACAAAATGAGTTATTAGATAAAGACCATCGAGAACTCTAAACAAAAAGAGTGTAAATTTTACCATATTACGGAAATGCATGCCAGCATTCGTGTTGAATATGTTTTCTTGAAATTTCGTGGCAAACATGTCTGCGGCAAAAACCTACAATATAATTATCATATTATATGAAAATGAATGCAACAAAACAACCTTAACACATTGCAACAACTGAAGTTTTTCATAGAAAAAAAAAACGCAAATGAACTAATAATGCAGCAGATGTCCTATGAAATTAATTTTGAAGCATTTGAAGAAATCATGATGACAAATGGTGGCACAAACCTCGCTCCATAACCGACTATAACAAGTAGCTTCATAACCAATAGCAGTTTGAGGAAAACATGAAGCAGGATTAGTTCCTTCTAGCAGTGGCAATCCTAACATAACCTGCAATTTTGAGGGGCACAATTAAGCATATAATTGGACAAAAGCTACATGGGAGAATCACAAAGGAGATAATACCTTAGAGTGAAGGTGCTCAAACAATTTGATCATGTCTACATTCTCAGAGGAATATATGATCTGATCAAAAAGGCCTGGTCAAATGAGTTGTGTGTTAGAAAAGCTGATTAAACTAAAAGTGCACATGCTTTAAGGACATTTTATGACAAGGGCATAAAAATGTCTTTGAAATAAAATGTCCAACTTGGGATATCCATCACTTGAGATGTCCATCAACACTGATTTGGTAAAATCCAAAAGAGGAATAATAAATAATTGTGATTTTTCTACAGATAGACGTACAGTAAACAATTTCCTGTTTTAATTTGAGTGCTGAGAAGGAACTCCGCCATCTCTTAATTGAATTACACATCTCATCCTCAATCGGCTTAGTGATATCCTGCAACTCAAAAGGTATAACATCAAATGTTAGGGTATAATGACAACAATTGACACAAAAGAAAAATCAGAGTCGTTTGAACAGTATTAAACACAGTACAGGACATGTAAATACACACCCTAAAAAAGAAGAGGGAAATATAAATAAAATTGCAAACACTTAAAAGCATGAATCCTTGTCCTTGTCAGGATATATCCAAGAACATACTGAAAACTGAATCTGAAGTTTGAAACAGTATTTTCCACTAGTAAAGCGGGATGAAATAGCAAACAATGAAATTACCTGATGAAAACCAGAAATCAGTTTCAGAGAGCTGCTTTCATAGCACCTGCACAATAATTTGTGCAGTCAGTATCTTAGGTGTATACAATCACATCAGCAATCAGAGAGGAAAAAAAAAAAAAAATTATGCACACACCAGTTCTCCAATAATATGGATGGGATCTCTACAAAGTCAGGATCCAAGCGCAAGCCAGAAAACCTAGCAAATGGCGCACGATTGCAAATATGATGCACCTAAGATCACCAGTCAGTTTCTTGATTGAAAACTATTAGCATAACACATGATGATATTTTGCACTGACCAGGCAAAGATTATGTTAATGAAGGTTGAAATGTTATTCCACAGAATCTGGGGATGTGAAATATAAACATACCACATGACCAAACTCGTGGAACAAATTTACTACTTCAGAAAATCTCAGCAATCCAGGATGTCCATCGACTTCCTTTTGCAATTGAGCAATCAGCAAAGCCACGGGAATCTGGATGTGATATTTGATGTTAGGCCAAATCTTATCCAGTCCGATAAATAAACATTTGTGGGAATGCCATAAATTTTAGAAGATGGTGAAAAAGAAAGATCAGCACTAAAATAACTAACATCTGATGCAAAAACTAAAATGTAATAACCTGTCTTGTACTGTTAATGAATGAACTATCTTGAAGAGCCACAACACAGGTGTGACCAAATTTTCCTTCCCTATATAAATGAAATATATGGTTCAGCTTGATTTCCTGCAAGGCATATAGCATAGCAGAAATCCAGTTTACTAAATAGATTAAAAAAAAAAAAAACAACCTGGTATACATATCAAGATAGAAGTAACCCATGAGTTCAGCAGAGCTCAAGTCAAAAACTGAAAAAAGTTGCACGTCTTGGTGCCAAATTTCTGCATCAATTACTTCCTCAAATCTTAAACCTGCAGCAAAACAATGAAATATCTGACCATGCTTAAAACAAGAATCAACAGAGGCATTGAGCTCTGCAAAACATGCAACTGATAGTAATTACCAAATAGGTCTTGGCATATTTTGAAGATTCCTGATAGAACTAAGCGAACTGGAAAATACTGTTTGATAACTCCAAAATCAATATCAAATTGCTCTTCTTTGAGCGTCTTGACATAATATGGAAGGTCTTCAATTCCAAATGGATATTCTCCTTCCTCTTTTCTCTTAATCACCAGATAAAAAGTTCAAAAACTTTCATTCCATTGTAACAAGGTGTCTATTAACTTCAAAGACATCTCTTAAAACTTGAGAGAAAATCACAAACAAGCCAACCTTTACTTCTTTTAACACGTATAGTTCCTTTGTTGCAGATTCAGTTAATCTTGCTGACATTTCCTCTAAAAACTCGATCACCTAAGAACAGCAGAAAAATATTGTCCATAAGAAAAAATTTCAAGCAGTGGTGTCATTAATACAAGACATGTGACATGACAAGGCAAGGAAGAAGAAAAATTAAAAAATCAAATCATTTCAGATCAACCATTACTGTGGCATATGTCAAATCGGACGACACACTTGAAATGGAGAAGTTCAAAAGGAAAAAGGAAACTGAGAAAAGAAATGGAATGCTCGACCACCGTGAGGCTCTTTCAACGCGGGCAGTGTAATTTACATTTTTATAGGTAAATAGAAGCATCAAGGCACACACATCGGTAAAAATACTAAACAAGGTCAAATTACCAAATTATTGGTACACCAGAACAAACCTTCTTTGATGAGTTTGCCATTCTATGATCAACAACATATTCTGCATAATTCGGGTAACCAAGCAATCTAGCAAGTTTATGACGTAACTGAACCTGCAAGTATAACATTGACGACAAAAGTAAATGCTATGCTTTTACCAGATATTGAATGTAGAATGTAACTTCCAATAATAACTTTGAGGAATTAAGTGGATCATAGTATTTACATGGGCCATCATACGTCCAAAACCAAGAAGAAGCTAGTAACTAACTTTATCACTCCCAGTACTATACCCGTTCACTATGTTAGAATACAAACTCCAGCCAACTAAATTCATAGATATTGCACAGAAAACACAAAAGAAAAACACTTGAATGCTCCAGTATTCTAATTCCTAAGCAGCCAGGTCAATATGGTCTATCCTTCACAATTTTTTTTCCTTCTTCGAGTGATGAAATTTGTATATTACAAAATCACGCAATTTTGATAACCATCTACACATTTACCAGTTTTTCTAGTATAGAAAAATTGACTTCACACCTCCTCCCGTAAGCTACAGCCACAGACTTCCTGGTTGACCCAACCTTCATAAAGAATATAAGACTTAGGAGGCTCAAATAGTTGCAATGTAGTATACAGTTCTATATCGACAACAGAATATAGACACAAGAGGTATCCCGTACACCAGATATACGTGC